CTCTGGGACCTGGGTACTAAGCCAGGGCACAGCAGTTAGCAGAGGCCTTTGAAAAAGCGTAACCTGTGAACTATGGCTTGCATGCTATCTGGGGTGAGGAGTGATTTCGGAAGAAATAACCAAGAGACTGTGAGTTTGTCCTGCCTGGCTGCAAATCAATCAGCACAGCTTCCTTGGTGGACAGCGTGGGAGGATTTATACATGTCACAGGGTTAAATAAAAAGCCTTTTATAACCTTCCAGGAGGGCAGGCTGCTCTGGTAAGAAAATTCAGTGCAGGACAAGCTAAAAGAATTAGATGCCATGACATAAAGCAACATCCCAGTTTGCTCCAGCAGAGACAAAGTCTCTGGAGACCATTGCATCCAGACTACTGTATCAGTGGTCCCAGTAACTCTGTAAGCATGCCACATGTCCTTCTCCTTGGGGATATTTCCCAGGCTGGCTTTGCTCTGGCATAGTTTCAGATCCAGCAGGGATCGAGAAACACAGCCCAGCTCACCCACTGATCCCCTTTCAGCACCTGCAGCCTTTGAAATTGCCAAGGTTGGTGGCCAAACCTGATGCCCCAGTTGCCTGCACAGACCCCACATGAACCCAGCATCTCAAGAGGCACCACGCCATAAGGAAACAGAGTGAGGAGACCTGGATCTATTCCTTCCTCTGACACTGATCTTTGCAAATCCCATCAGCTCTGTTGCTCCTCGCTCCAAAGCTGATTTTGACAGGGCTGTTGTGAGCAGAGACTCTCTCCCTGAGTGTCCACAGCCATGGGGAGCCTTAAGCTCACCCAGCAGCTCCACTGAAGGCAAGGAGCAGCAACACCAGCTCTGTGCATATATCACATCTATCAACACTGGGGAGCAGTGCCCTTCTGCGACTGCCCTGGGCTGGCAGGGAGAGAGCTTCTGGTCAGGACAGAACCCACTCCGTTTTCTAGGAGACTGCGCAGTTTCAGAATGACCCCCATCCAGAAACATTAACATCAACTTTTCAGAATGTAACCCTCAAAACAGGATTTACTAGAAATACAGGAGCGTGCAGTTAACAGAAATATTCCACTGCAGTGTGCTGTAACTGAGAACTCGTGTACATTTCTTTTTAATTGCAGCAAGATTGTTTTGAAATGGAAAATCGGAGCATTCTCTTCCAAGTAAGAATCATAGAATCGTTTAGGTTGGGAAAGACCTTTAAGATCAGAGTCCAACGGTTAACCTCACACTGCCAAGTCCACCACCAAACCATGTCCCTAAGCACCACATCTACACGTCTTTTAAATACCTCCAGAGACGGTGACTCAACCAACCACTTCCCTGGGCAGTCTGTTCCAATGCTTGACAACCCTTTTGGTGAAGAAGGCTGGGCTGCTGTGTTCTACTGTTTAAAAACATCAAAACTGACAGCTTCGTATGAAGCATTTTAACTCCCTAGCTTCCTCCGTCTGAGAAATTCTCCCTGAGACAATCTCCAGACACTTTTAGTCCAGACTCTGTGAGCACCTTAGGCACGAGCAGCTACCACGGAGAAGGCTGAACCTTGCTCAGCAAGATGACGGGGCCCAAGAGATGGTCTGGGAAACAGAGGAGTCATTAGGTAAAGAAGATAGGCAGAGATGGGGGAGGAATTAATTTAGGGCGAGCATCTGCTCCCGGAACAGCGCCAGACAGGTGAGGTCTTGCTTTTTATTGCTACGAGCATCTGCCTCGGAGCACTGATTCCCAGCAGGGCTGTCAGCCCCACCTTTGCATTTGCTCAGATAAACCCATCCGTTTTCTTACCTCTATAATTTTATGAATATTTTCTAATCCCAGGGAGGACGCTGCCTACATGGAGATAGATGTACACAGCTGCTACTGATTTATTGTCTCTACAGACTCTTGTGGTGCTGTAAGCCTTTTGGGGAAGGCTGGGCCCCACCTCTAAGCCTCCTTCACTCCACAGCACATGGAGAAAGCACTGGTCACCCTGACCACAGACCTGTGCAGGGTGAAATGGTGATGGGGCAAATGTCTAGTTAGATCTTAAGACAAGTGTCATGACTATGTTTACTCAAGTTTCCAGCTTACCAACATCCAGTGGGTCCTTGCAGTGAGAAGCATTACCTAGGATCATCTCCTGGCTCTTCTGCCATCCTACTACAATCTGGAGTAAGTTCCTCCTTCTCTCCTTGCCTCAGTTTCCTTCTGGAAGAGCGCAATCTCCTCAATATGCCTTTGTGAATCATCTGCTACAGCTCTGCACTCATCTCGGTCTCTCATTTTCCTTTCTGAATCACTTTAGCCATTGCTCTCCCAGTACCACGTCGGACAAACAAGGGCAAGGTGATGCCCTGCTCCTGCTAGTGCCAGCCAGCCCTTCTGCACTGAGTGAGCCTGGGCTGGCCAGAGAGGAGGAGGGTAAATGATAGCTTGTCCTTTCCCCTGCCTGCTTCAGAAAACAGGACAGATCCTGTCAGGTGCCAAGAACTCTGTTATTTTTGTCCGCAGATCAGACACTGCCAGATCAGACCCAAGAGACATAAAAGATTTTCCACTACTTTGAAATTAATCTTTGCCTTCCAAGAGTGGCTGAATGAATGGCCCCAGCATGGTGTGTCCAGAATCACTCTGGAGGTGGGGGGCTTATATAGTCTCTTTTAGTGAGCACAAACATAGAACACATAGGCTTAAATGAGCTTTAAACGTTGCAGGATTCAAAGCACATCTATGCCCTGTCTTAAAGACTTTTCAAGGTTTCTTCATGCTCATAGAAGGAGGAACTTCCTCTAAGGATGCACTCAGCACCTTATTCTTATCTGGTGATCTGGAAATATCCATCAGCTTTAATCACCCCAAGGAGTTCAAAGCATTAGCTAAATTCAGGTCAAGCCACCAGCCAGAGCATCCTTGGCAGCAGCACTAGGGCTACCTTGCTCTTCCCTGCAGCACCCACACAGCCACATGGGTCTCATGGGGCTGTATATCATCAGCACACTGCCCTCTACACTTGCTGCCACCTAGGAGTGCTCAGAGCACCACTAGTAATTAAATTTGGAGAACAGACATAGGGAAAAGCATGGCTTACAGATCAATGTTGGGGCTGAATTGTGCACAGCAGCCATCAAAGCAGCACAGCTTAAGAACAGTCAAAAATCCTTTCCAGAACCATTTATTCATGGGCACAGGGTTCATTATGAAGGAACTGGTGCAGATCAGAGGTAGGTGCCAAGGAACATTTAACACTTTGCAGAAAGGGGTAACTCGGCTGCACCATGAGATGGCAAGGAAGAAACCAGGTCTGGTTCTGCTCATGCTTTCACCACCCTCACTGTCTGCAGCCAGATTGCTCCGGATTTCCCCTGGCATCAACAAGAGTCCTGTCCTGGCACTCCCCTCTCCAGCTGACACCTACTTTAGGAACAAACATTTGATCCAGCTTCACAGGGATGACACGATGTGAAGGTGTAAGACTGGCAGGGATCAGAGCAGGGACACACTGAGCCAAGCAGAAGCAGTTGCTGGTCTGTCTCAGCAGCACAGTCCCCAGAACTTGGCTGGCAATGGGGATGGGCTTCCTGGAATTTCCATCTTAAAAAGGGGGTCAATCCAGACAGAGAACAGAAAACCACCAGGGACATGGTATCTGCAAACAAATGGAGTCAGGCTGCTTTCCGGCCACCCTCCTCTATTGACATCCCTGTAAATAACGTTTAACGCATCTCCCAGTGGGCCCAACCCCTCCCCTTCTGCCGGGGACCAGATGTGCTGCATATCAATGCACACACTTAGCTATTTCAATTTTAAAAATATGATAGAATCAGTGATGCTTAAAATGTACTTGTTAATGGCACCAGTTTGCGATTTCATTTTACTTTAATATAAACCATCTGCTCTGAGCAGGCAGCAGCCGCAGGCTGAAGCTCCGCTGCCCTGGTGTCTCCACAATGGAGGGCATCTCTAAGCTGCCACAGAAGATGCACCACTGTTTATTCGTGCATGCCACCAGGCATGGGCACTACCTGGCCCCAGTAGTTAGCTCGTCCTCAGGCTAAGAGCTGACTGCCATGATCAAAAGGCTCTGCAGGGACCTCAAGGCTGTCTGTTTTCTCTCTGCCATGAAGAGCGGAGGCAGTGACTGGTGAGGTCACACACTGAGCCGGAGGTGGGACTGGGCATCGATACTGCCTTGGCCTCACTACTGTGATGAGGGAGAGGAGGGCAGGACACTGAGGCACCGATTGCATTCCTGATGGCTGTTCACAGACCCAAGAGATCCCAGTGAAAGGTGTGCTGTCCCTTCAGAAAGAAGGGGAAGGCCATGGGCCCTGATGTCCCCCGCGAATGATGAAAGCAGGTGGTGCCACCCAACATCTCTAGTTTGGATCCCCCAATGACACCCATAAGAGCTCCTGTGCAGCGAGTTCACTGCTGGTCTAGCTTGGGCACAGGGCATGGCAAAGGGGTCCAGACAACACTATTTCCCAGGCCTGTCCAACAGCTCACTACTGTTTTCAGAGGCTCAGGTAGTGAGGCACAGGCTTGGCATGGGGGTAGGACATCACCTCAAGAGCCATCGTTGCAATGTTGACCCTGGCCAAGGGGAGGGGAGGGATAGAGGGAAGGGTTTTGAAAGGGATCAGATGGCCTTCCCAACTTCTCCCCTTTTAGCTTTGCGGTTCCAGAAAGCTGTGTTCATTTAAGGAAAAAAAAAAAAAAAAAAAAAAGAAAAAAGAAAAAGAAAAGCAGAAAGAAAAATTGAGAGAAGGAGACCTCCTCCCCTCCTACTCACGGGCTGAGGTATTCCCTGGGCAGCCCTCACTGTCCGTCATCCATCCATCACTACCGAAATAAATACAAGTTTAGAGCAAAACCCATTAGAAAATAAAGTGCATCTGGAGTTGAAAAACTTCTGGAAAAAGGGGATTTTTTTTCCTCTTTTTTTTTCTTACAAAAAATATCCTTTAAAAAAAAGAAAAAAAGAAAGGGAGCAAGAGGACAGAGCATGTGGCTCTTGGCATAGGGTCTACAGGGCTGTCCCATTAGGCAGAGGGATCTTAAATCCGCTCTTCAGCAGGGCAAGGCAGATGCATAGACCCAGCAGGCCGGCAAGAAGCACCCCCACCACAGCCTTGAGGCAGGAAGTCCTGCTGCGGATGAAGGTGCCAGGCCCCATGATGCTCAGCAGGGCTGTGCTCACAGTTAATGTGTACAGGATGGAGACTCCTGTGTTGAGGGCCACAATCTTCCCAAACTTGGCAAAAGGGGCAATGATGCAGAAGAACAGCGGGACGGTGGCAATCACTGTGGTGACGGCGCTTGAGACAATTGCCACACCCACGTGACGGACTGCTTCAATTGTCCTCCACTGGCGGCACGCTGTGGGGTCCTGGCAGAAGGGACAGCAGTGTTAAGGGGGAGTGGGGACAAGCACATGGGGCTGCACTGATGTTTTAGCCTTTGAGAGGGTGGCTTAGCTCATGGGGTCCTGGTCCAGGACAAAGATGCTGCATGAGTGCAGATCGGACAGTTCATGCAGTCTCTGAGCGCACTGGGCAAACAGCCATGGTTTAAACCCAGTAGAAGCAAAATCTGCTGGATTTTGTGCCTCTTTTCAGCCACATCAGACTGACTGCTGGGCCTACACAACAGAGGCACTGCATGCAGACACTATACCTGTGATCAGAGATCCCCAAGCTTTTGTGGTCTCCTTCTTCCCAAACCAGGAAAAGATGTTAACAAGGCTGGAGAAGACCTGGAGGTCCAGCACAGTGCAGCAAAGCAATTTGCAGGCTACAGAACAAGTGAAGGGCCATCCCAGCACAAGACTGTCTTCACTGGGGCATGAAAGGGTCTTGCTTTGGACACAGCTGTGGCCAGTAAGAAAGGGACAACCATGTGGGTTGGACCCTCAGCTGGGTTTACTGTACTCAGGTACACAAGCTCATATCGGTCTCTGACCAACCAGCTGGACAAGCAGCAAGCATCCCAGGCATGCTGTGAGGGTGGCAAGATGCATCCTGCCTTGCCCATCATGCCTTAGGTCCTGCATCACAGCCAAGTGGCACGGAGGGCATGAGGGGAATGGATACAAGGCTATAGGAAGGAAAGAGCTCACCTCTGCCTGGTGTAGTGGCAGGTTTTCCCCTGCCAGCAGGTAGCCCTCCACCAAGTGCACGCAGTAATCGACAGAGGAGCCAACGAGAATGGAGAGGGAAATGGCTTCCACAGCTCCCATTTCCCAGCCAGACCAGTACATGATGGTCACCACCAAGCAGACCACCCCTGTGTGAAGAAGGTCATGTTAGGCAAATTTAAAGGACTCTGGGACTGCTGCCCAGGCCTACTGATACAAGTCAATCACTGGGGAGTTTGGGATCGTACCCCTGCAGATCTGCGTGCTAGCCAGTCTGAATCTTGTACACACTCCCTCCTGCCCACAGAGGAAAACACTTCCCTTACCTTCCACTGGCCACAAGGACCGCTCAATCAGGTAATCAGACCTGCTGGGGACAGTGAAGCACCTGATTAAATATTAGGCAAACTGACAGACTGATGCCAATCTAGACTAATGCTTGCTAAATGAATCCAAGCCCAGGCAAGTGTGCCTGTGTGCACACATGCACTACAGGCAAGAGGGCCCTTTGTTTTGGTTGCTGGAGTTACACACAGGCTGAGCGCACGCACAGGTTTTTCTTAAAGGCAAGAGTGATGTTTGTTTGTGAGTCATGTGTGGGAGACTAAGTGGTTTTAAAATGATAGATTTGATTTTTAACTGAGAAGTTTAGCAACACACAGTCCACAATATCATCAAATCACCAGCCAGGGAGAGGGAGCTATTTACAAATTTGCTTCAAATACTAACAAAACCACTAAAATATTCAGCTTTTAAAATCTCCCACTGCTTGGATACAGCAGCCGTGGTGCAGATCCTTGGGAAGTAGTGCAATTGTTATTCAGAGCATGTGGGACTTAATCACATTATTATACATAACAGGCAGGGATGGCATTTGTGTAGCTAAAACCCTTATTTAAACAAATAGAAGGGATTGTGTAGATAAAACACACTGGGAATTAGACACACAAATCTACTTTCCCAATGAGGTTCCTGTGCATTTGTTGAGAGTTTCTCCCATTCACCTAGGTATATCAGGACTGGTTCCTGGAAAGCCAAAAGGGTTTACACAGAGTAAGAGCAATTCAGTTCAAATCACCAGAGACTCAGCAGTGCCACAACTCACCCGTTTCAGACAAAGGGAGAGCTTGACACATTGGAATGTTTTTTTTTTTTTTTTTACCTAAAATGCTGAGCAGCACTGGCAGCAGGAGGAGGATGTGAGTGGTAAACACCGCCACTGCAGCCACACAAATAACCAGCGAGAGGACGAGTCCATACAGGGCACTCTGCACTCCTGGAAGAAAAAAGCCAGCTAATTTGACTCCTGGAAGGTGACATCTGGGATAAAAAAGGCACTGTGTCTCTGCTGGCAACAAGGCAGGCAGGGACTCACACTGGGGGAGACGGGAAGGGAGGATGAAAGTGGAAAGCGGGTGATCAGCTTCTTGCCTCTCACATCAGCAAGGCAGAGTCCCTTGCCTTCTCTATTTCCCTGGGCTGTGCCTAGGATTTTGACAGCATGCACTGCTTGGGGCAGAAACAGGCTTTAGGAGTTTGCACAGCAATGGTAAGGGACTGACGATGTAACACGTGCCCATCAGATGGGACAGAATGTGCTGTGAAGATGTATCGGAGAGCGTGGGCTCCTCAGGGAGAGAAACATGGCAGTCACTTGCCTATAATCTCCATGAAGATCTGCTTCCAGTGCTCACAGGTCTGGAAACCATGCCGGAGAGCAGAGCCCTCTGGGAAGAGCTGGAGTTGCTGCTGCAGGAATGTCTCCCATTTCAGGTAGTCAGCATATGTCTGGAAGGAAGATTTCCCTTTGTAGGTTGTCTGTAAGAAGATGAACATGTTATTCTCATGTCCTGCTCTTTGGGGCAGGGTATGCATGGCAAGGGAAGAGGTAGAACCAGCCAGCTGGATTTGCAGCATCAGGCAGAACTGGCAGTGGCAGATGGGCAAATCTGCTACCAGCTCTTTGCCTGAGCTCTCACGGTAAGAGCAAATTGTGGCATAAGCAGCCATTTCTAGCAATTTGTGAGCACAGGCATCTGTCTGCAACAGGGCACAAACACTAGCAAACACTAAATTATGGCTGCAAATGAAAGTGGCCAGTGCAGAAAGAGCAGAGCTAAACCCCCAGAAGTCTTGGCTTAGACAGGTACACTCTTTGCT